CTAGGTTCAGAGGGTCAGATCACTTTGATCCTCCCCTCCCCTACCCCCAACCACATGGGAAGCAAACTTCAGACAAGACGTTTCTGGGATTTAAAGGGGCATTGCCATCACAAAAGTGTTGGTTGAGCTGACCTTTTATTGCTTGGGAAAAGGAAATAGCCAGACAACCATCATTGCCATCGATAAATTGCACTCGACCAAGAGAGTGAAGCTTTGGTGTGATCCATATCATTAAATTGTGTTTTGTTCTGAAATATAACTGAAGGAGATTTGCCTAATAGTTTTTTTTGTGAAGACGTTTCTCCAAAAGTTGAAAACAAAGGTTGCAAGAACATCCATGTTCCTGCCGTTGGTTTATTTTATTATTTAATATGACGTCGTCCCAAAACACAAATTTTTCTGATATGGAGTTTCATTGTCATGTGAACTTTACAAACAGTGTTTAGGTAAGATACACACATATATATAATAAACACTGTGTGTGTATATGGTCACAACATATGAACTCACATAAGCATAGATTTTGCATATCAAATAAGAGCTCAGCATGTAAAATGGACATCTAGATAGTTAATTGGCCCATGAGGTTTGTGGTCTCTTATTTTGAGTGCCTGCAGGTTGAATAGACTGTATAACAGGGCAGAAAGGCTATTTTGGGCAAGTATTTGCCTGTGCCAGGCTGGTGACCCTCTTAAATCTATTCTGTTTGGGCAGTACTCTGGTTATGTCGGCGCAAAGAATGGCAACTTCATGAATGGTGCAAGAAAAGGCATGTCCACTATGCCTGTTTCTTACAATGCCACACCTTTCATGAACAACCTCACTCACTCTATCTCCTGGAGGACAGTTCTGCACAGATACACATTTCAACTTCAAAGATATTTTTTTCTATTTATCATCTTCCTACTGCTAAGCAAGTTTTCAGTCCATCCAGCTAATTTGACAATACATTTGTCCCTCAGTTTTATTCTTGGTCTTACATGTGGACCTTTCTCAAATGACCGATAAAAAATCTTCCTTCTGTCTTCACGTAGACCTTCCATTGAGCATCAGTGCCTTTTGGATAACATCTTGTATATTGCTCTCAAACATTTTTCCCCCAACCACAGATGTCAGGCTATCTGGTTTCCAGTTTCATGTTTCACTCCTTTTCTTGAATAATGGGATAACATTTGCTATCCCTCACTCCATCCCTGTGACTCCAGTGTTTACAGAGTTCTAAATAATATTAAGCAGAGCCTCACCTATTCCCTCGAAAGATCTTGGGGTGTATTTCTTCTGAGCTGATAAAGAATATTCAGTTAAATGGTACACTACCTGGTACAGTACTGGTAGAGTAGCCTTGGGATGTCCTCCCAACATAAAAGGCACTATACAAATAAAATGGACAAGACGAGGACAGGGGAATATGAGTTACATTTCTGAAACGTACATGGAATTATTTTGACTTTAAAGTACAGTTTTATAGTGTGTTTGTTTCCAAAAAGAACACCAATTTTAAAGAGACTCCAGCTTTCACACAAAGAGAGACCTCCTTCCAGTTTGCTTTATGTCACCGAAACATATTTTGAAAGGTCATTAAATGGTATTGTACCTGATATCTGCTGCCTCACTTTACAAATGTGTGTAAGAGAATCAAGTATATTGGATGTAACTCTCTGTATTTACTTTCTTGTACAAAATGTGGTGGAGCCCTGTATTTTTGTTAATCTGTTGTCAAAGTGAATTTAACACTCAGAACTGGGCAACACAATTGAAATAGTGTGGAAAGGAATGCCAAGAAAGTGGATTAAATCCATGTCAGCGATTCATACTGAAATGCAGTCGAGTCAGGAAATGACAGGCCTTGCGGTTAATGAAGTCCAGAAGTTAAAAGATTAGGTATTTCTTTCATCCCCATTTCGTTTTTTAAACAACTTAGGAGCAATTCCCTCCCGTTTGTTTGCAAGTAAAATGTGGCTGCTCAAAGTTCAGAGTAAGTTCAAGGATTCTTTTGTGACTGACGAGAGGTTGAACTGCCCAGCTTCACACCAGTGAGGGGTTGGTCTTTATCACTGGAGGTCAAATAGGGACTGAGCCAACAAGCAAACCTGACTGGAAGTAGGAATGATAAATGGGAAGACTAGCAGAATCTTATTGTTACACAATGAATGCTCTGTGTTAATGCCCTTCATCTGTGACACAGCCCTCTGGAGTGACATTCCAAGCACGTAGAGTGTCCACAGTGTTGTTTCTCCCAAAGAGTAGCACTCCTTACTTAAAGTATAAAATGGTTAATCTACATTCCATTTACGTTGTGTGTACGCCAAAGCACCAATGTAAGGGCTTGAAGCAATATTGGCTGTGGTTGCTGTTAACTGTGGGCACTCGTTGATAACTGGGATGCAGGTTACTTGTTGCACAGCACAAAATGCCATGTGATCTTCGAGCTTTCAATAACTGCTCCGTGTGGTCTTACTTTCAAGAGTGACCCCAGCTGTGGGAGGCATTTCTGTTCCTTCATTGAAGAAATTCACAGGCTCTTATTGATTCCCTGTGTTTAAATATTCTCTTTCCATTTTGGGGTTGGGGGAAGGAGAAGATTTGCTGTGCTTTATGGAAATTGCTGGCAAGAAAAGCAACAAAAAGAAATTATTGAACTGACCAGTTCTGATCACCATTCACCACTTTTAAACATTGCAGCCTTTGAATCCACTCCCGCTTATTCACTTATACTGATTTGATCAGCCTGCCATTGTGTGTGCTCCAGAATATATCTGTCAAGCATTACTGGCTTTGTTGAAGTGACTTGGGTTTGAGTTGATAGATTTGGCTTATGTTGACATCAAACCTGAATATGTACGTACCGTATGTGATTGGTTATATCAACTTCCAATGATCGACTTCAGTACAATACAATAAAAATCCTTTACATTTGATATAGAGATTTATCATGTCAGTGTGTCTCAAAGCACTTAAGGTTTTGGGGGTCCGAAGAACACAGGCAAATACATCATGCAGTGTTTTCTATGTAGGATTGTCACTGAGCATGTACATGTGAACTAGGAAGGTGTGTTGTTGGCTTGATGTTCTATATTTTCATGACTGTACGTTTGATTTTCTGATGACACACGTGAAATAACTGTGGTCATTTAATGTGCCAACAACAGTCCCTTTGTTTTACCAAGGTAATTACACAGGAATGTGGAGTAACTGATGTGACGTGATGTGTACAAGCAGCTGTCATATTGATATATTCATGTGATGTGTAGAATTTCATATTGGAAAGACGGATTCACTTAATTGAAATTTCCTTCACAAATATCTTTCGTCAACACCAGGTTGTTGTTGCCTGTCCATAAAGAAATGGCCTAATTAACCTGACATCAACTGTGATACATTTATCAGGCAAGTCTTTTTAAAGTTTATTTTAATCAGCTTGGCTAATTTTTATCAGTAAAATGAACCAGGTTCATTTATTCGAAGTGCTGCGGTTCAAAGCAGTTGGTTTATTTAACGCCACATCAAGTTACCTTCGCGTGAAGAAATAACATTTCGAGTAGAAATCCCACAGAACAGCATAGTCATCATGAAAACAGTGCTTCTGGCAATATTTAGTAATAAATAACTGAAGGGGTAAACCTCCCTGCTGCTGTACTGAACGTCAGTTTTAGTTTGTCTTTAAGATGTGTTGTTTATCCTGTGTTTTTTGGCCTTTATTTTAAATGCTGCTGTGTCAGCCTGGCGAGGTGGTAGCACTCTTGCCTCCGAGTCAGAAGGTTGTGGGTTCAAGCACCAATTGGGAATTGGAATCACATAGTCCTAAGCTGGCACTTCAGTGCAGTGCTGGGGGTGGGGCGTGTTGTATTGTCAGATGTGCCATCTTTTGGATGAGACGTTAAATCGAGGTCCTATCTGCCCTTCTATTTGAAAACAGATGGAAGATTCTGGCCAACAATTCCCTCAATAAAATTGGTCAATCATGCCATGGCTGTTTGTGGAACATTGCTGTGAGCAAACTGGCTGGCGTGTTTCGCCCACGAAACATACAGTCAAACGGAGTCCTGTAGCTCAGTGGTTAGAGCACTCGCTTTGCAAGCGAGAGACCTGAGTTCAATTCCAGGCAGGGCGAAACCTTGGGCAAGTTTCCTTACTCCACACGCCTGATAATAATCCCTCCAAACACCAAAAACAATAATAAAAATTGGTCATTTTCAATCTACGACTGTTTGTGGGATATTGCTGTGCGCAATTGGCTGCCGCATTCGCCCACGAATATACAGTCAATTCACTTTACAGTGTGTTCTGTGAAGCGCTTTGGCACGTCCTCCCGACGTGAAAAGCGCTATATCAAATGCAAGGATTATTATTATTTTATTATTATTAAACCACTTTACAGTATATCAATAAAGCACTTTGACAAGTCTCGAAGACATAATGAGGCGATGTATATCAAATGCAAGGATTAGTTTTTTTTATTGGGTTGAGATGAGGACTACCTATACTTATCTGACTTTGGCATCCAGTGTAAGCATTGAACACTCCAAGATTAGATATTAAAAAGGCAGATATAGGGTAAAGCTCCCTCAAGGTAAGTGGACAACATGACTAGATTTGTCTTTTGCCTTTTGAATAGATTTGAGTTTACTAATGTTTCTTTAAAACAATATGAGTTTGCAAATACCGCATGTGTGTACTACATATTAACTGACAGCAAATTTTGCAGCATCATTTATATTCTCCTTGTGAACTGGTTGGTTAAGTTCAATTTTCAAATATTCCACATGCCTCATTCTGTCTCTTCCTCTACTTAGTCCCCAGCAAAGCTTAGAGAATGGTCTGAAGTGTTGTAATAATTTGTCTAAATTTCTATCTCTTACTAAACAATGCATATTTCTTTCTCAATCTGTTTTACAAATAAAATAACAGATTACACAGTCTATTCCGGTTGCTTCCTGTGGTGTTCACATTTTCTAAAACCTTTTAATCTGTGTGATGGGATGTTTCTCTTATCTTTTCAGTGCTTCTTTGATTTACCTGGCGGAACAGAGAGAGAATTCATGAACAGCCATGGTGAGAGGTATCTCCAGGATTTTATGCTCTAAATTTGTTTTTATCTGCAGAAGTTCTCATTGTACATCGACATGCATATCCTAAACCATGCTGGCCACTGGTCATTCACACATCATGCTTGTTAACTCAGTACTAACTACATTCCTGTTTGTCTCATCAGACGTATACTATGTCACCATGTCTTCATTCTATCTGCAAAGAAGTGTGAGAATTGTGCGTTCATTCACACAGTTCACAGTTGCCACACAGTCAGTTGTGTTTACAATTTGCTCTGAGTACTGGCACTGCAGAATAGCATGAGGACAATTTGCTGCTTCACAGGCAAGCTTGTTACTTTAACATTCACTGCACAAAATCCACTCCTACCCTTGGTAGCAAAACCCAATAAGTGTTTAAATGGTTAAGTTGAGACTTGATTGTAATCACTCCACAGCAGCACATCTTGTTTATGTTTCCAGGGATACACCAGCTGAAGACAACTCTGAACCACTTAGAATCAGGCCACTGGGCTTAAATAAGGTGTAACAAGTTATATTTCCTGATATGTTTGCCTTATCTTTCAAAATGTTATTTGAATATGAGCATATGGTGAATACAGTTTTATCTCAATTGATTGCATCTCAATACTTGTAACATAGGTCCTTTGGGGTCTCGCAGTCTGACTTTCATTTTCCCTTTTCATTACCACTTTCAGAGGAGGTGCTTGATTTAATGGAATAAATCATGAGCAGTTTAGTTTTGCAGATGGAACTTTTTGTTCCCCCAATAATGTGACACCACATGTTTTTGCTTCACTGCAGTGCAATGCGAGATTTCTTGAAGATTTACAACATCTTGAACTCCTCAGTCAAAAAAGTATACAAGATTGAAACTGGTCTGATTGTGTTCATCATTATTTAATTTGCACTATTGTTTTTAGACATTTTTCATAGATTCCCTTTGTCCACATGAAACTTTTATTGTTAGATATGCTTAATGGTGCAGTGCTGATTCTGACGTTTTTATCATTAAAAACATTGTAATTCAGAATAAGTTTGAAGTAGGTGCTAGGTCAGTCATGTGGCTTGCCTGATGCAATTCATTGTTTGTTCATGTGGAATATAAGATAGTCTTCATAAGGCTACTCTATCGAAACTCTGAGCGTGCTGAACAGTAAGTAACCCAACCAATGACCTGGATGAGGTCACATTGCCAGGTGTGTTCTGACCTTGAACCATGAATTGGTTCGGTACTTGATCTATTAGTACTTTGCCATGTTTTCTGTTCAAAACTGGCAAGGAGTTAAGATCTTTTTAAAAAGGAAAAACTTTATTTAAAAAAATACTGTTTCATTTTGATTTATATACTTTTAAAGAAAGGTGTGCAAGTGCACGTTGACAAGTGATGAACACAATGTGTCATCTTTCTTCAGTTTAGTGCTGTGTATCCAATGACGGAACTGAGAGTTTGGATAAAGCCATTTGACTGCAGCTCAAAAGAGCACACTGGAGGGAAGATCCAACTGTGAAGTAACCAACAGCATTCCCCCAATGGGTACATGAAGAAGCGGGATGGAAGCAAATACAACGGCAAAGGTAAGTCATGATGAATGAATTCACTCTGAGCACACAGAGACTTAACGTGCGAGATATGATGGAAGAGACTTTGAGAGGCGTGACTGGAAAACTTGATAGTAGGGCAGACTGTGAGACTTGAAAAGTACTTTTACAGCTCATTAAAAATCATTCATTTGCAGCTGACAATTTGGTGGCATTTTATACCCCTGTTGGGGTAAAACAAGTACAAAGGGTGTGGTTTGTCCTGGGTGACGTATGAAGTTCGGAGCTGCAAGGAAATGTAATTAGATATTGAATCTGGTATATTGTGCACAGAGCCCGATTTGAATCCAGGGTTGCGATAAACAATTGCTGTGTGTGTTCCTCCATGGAATGTGTTTTCAGTAACTGGTTAGTGGAAGTCAAGACCGTTTGGGTTCCATGTGACCTCTTTCTGTGTAGAACTAGGAAACAATTGGAACTTCACTCACGTAAGGTGAGAGACAGGAAAAAGGAGTGGTAAGAGTGCACTGAAGCTGACTCACAGGGGTGGAGTTGGGTGGTCAAAAGTGTCATCGTTCACTCATATCAATGAAAAGAATCAATCCATCATGAAAGCAGTACATTAACATTTGATCTTCCCTATTGAAGCCGGAAAAATTTTCATGCGCCACGGTCCCATGTCTCCTGTTTATATATGTTACAGTAAAGTTGTGAAAACAGCGATTTGGCGAAATCCCTGAAATTTTCATAAAAGTTGTGAAATTACGGATTTTGCAGAATTCCTGGTTTCACAATTTTGCTGAACATTTCACAAATCGCAAATGGCCAGGTAGGGTGTGATCGCATGATTGAAGAGCCACATCACAAATACACCAACATCACAAATACACCAACATTACAACCAATGCACTGGAATTATTCAAGTCTCTCTTTGTGGAGTGCCAGAGGAAGAGGCCTGTGACAAAGGCTGTGCGTCCCATTCTCACTAAAGAGTTCACAAAATCCTGGTTTCACAATTTTATTGTAATGTATATATGTGTGTGTGTGTGTATATATATATTTCTACATACACACTTTAAATGGAGTGACTGATGATTCTTCTGACTGGTGTTCAGACACCTTCAAATCTGTGCAGTTTGTACGTGTGTGAGAGTATGATGAGCCTGGAATGAATCTGCTACTATTCCAGCAAGGTACAGAGTTCTAAAAGAAAAGTAGATGTTTGTATTGATTTACTGTACATTATCTACTTTTGTATCTAAAGAGCCAGTTTATTTTATCCAACTATATGGGACAAACTACGTCCTTGCTTTGGGATTGCAGTGAGGTCTCAAAAAGCATTTCACACACTTCTCTATTCTGCTGCTGAAATTCTGGGTTTGCCAACAAATGGAATTTCAGATTACTTTTCCCTGGTTTATAAAGATGAACTTTTTAAGCAATTTATAAGATGATGACTGTAATACGTTTCTTGCTCAGTTGTGCCTGAAGCTATGGGAGCTTGTCTCTGGTGGGAGCCAACCTGCGCTTACCTGTTTGTTACCTGCACACTGAAGGACCTTGATCAACACTCACTCTCAGTGGGAGATTTGGGCTTAATCAAAATGGTGTTAGATGAATCCACTGTAGACTATGAGACTGGAATACGGGATTGTAATACTGTAGCAGCAGAAACTGTTGATACCATTAAGCTGCTGAGTTGTGAGCTCTCTCATGGACAGCAGCAATCCTTGTAAACAAACAGGGACAGGAGTCACCCTGGTGACTAGTTATAATCTATTCCATGGCATTACTTTCGAAAAGTCTCAACAGTATCCGCAGTCCAGATAAAAGAGAGCAATGAACGTTTGTGTGTCTAAGCACTGTTTATTGTGTTATCAGCATTTGTACCTCAGTGACGAACTGCACAGTGACATTTTTGTATAGTAACTGACTTCATGGTTTGTTAAATGAATTGTCATCATGCGAAGACTCTGGATATAATGTCCTTGTTCACAAGGTTGTAAAGTTTCTTGACTATTTTTCTGCAGTGATTGGCTGTTTTCTCTTCACCTTTTAATGTAGCCATTTATTATGGTCTTTTTACACTGATCATTAAGGTGCTTTCAGTAGTCCTCGGCATTGTCTGTCAATTTATAACTAGCACAGCCACGATAGAACAAATAGCTTCCTTCTATGCTGCAATTTTTCTGCGATTAAAATGTCATATTTCAGCATTAGTATTTTGATGCCCACTGAGTGTTACCAACTAACCTTAGGACTTGATTGTTTCCTTATTTAATAGATGAGGAAATTTCTTGTCCCTGAAATGAGACTTACTGTGATTTACGGAGCCATTTTTCTTTCATTTGTTGATCACATAAAATGAAGTTAAGCTTCTTAACCAAGCTTACGTGGGGGATTTCTGCTTCCTGATAAGTTTAATTGTTATTGTTCCATTGGATGACTTAACGTCACATCAGTAGGAATTATCATGTGAATTATGCAAAAAATATTACAATAATTGGGTAAACCTTAAATCCACTTGTTTGGTCTCATATGGTTGGATCCACTTAAATAAAACCATCTGCAGACCTGATGTGATAAACTGATCTTTACTTTTTAATAAGGAATCATTGCTTCTACACCTTTCCATCATTGTACGACATTTGGAACTCCTCATGGAATTTGATTCCAAGGGCATTGTGAAAGCTTGTTTTTCTGGAACCTCATCCAAGCAACCATATGAGACTAAACAGTAAGTGTCAATAGGTTATTCAGGTGCATGTTTGGGAGGGGAAGGGGAGTGTGGGAAGGAAAAGGAGTGGGGGGAGCTCAGCCCAATGTGGCCCACACCTGACCACCAGGGGTTACTGTATAGAGAAGAGAGCACTTCACCAGTTTTTCTCTCCAGCATTAGGGTATTTGTGCAGGGAGCTGATTGGATACAAACCATCAAAGATGGGACCTTCCTGGGTTTGCGGCTCAGAACCACATCAGTTGCCCATTGAGTCACAATGGGAGGGAAGAAACCTATCATGATCATTCGAGCCTTTATGAAAATCTGACAAACGTGATGTTGTTTTGGAATCTCACCAATATGGCGTGCTAGAAATAGGGTCCACGGATATAACAATGATAATTGCAAGATTCTTTTTCCTACAAAGTTAAATGACTTATTGATACTGAGTTCAGGTGTACTATGAACCACGCCCCTCCATCCTCTTGTTATACACAATGCCTGGCTTTGAACCTTGGACTTATCTGAAGGATGTCACCTAACTGTCCTTGAGTTGGTGATCCTGAAACCATGCACTGTGTAATAACCTATTACGACTGCCCTCCAGACTGCTGCTGATGTATTTCGACTGAGGTACTCGTATGAATTTTCAGAATCGCAGCAGTATAAAGATTGAACAAAGAGCACTGACGCAGCTGAAGGTAATGCATTTAAAATACTGAAATTATTTATTGAAGGATGGAATTGATTCACAAATAATCTGCTTGAAACCATGTTTCCTATATTTCGATTAAATATACTGGGGATATTGCAATCCATGGATCACTGATCTCTGTCTGCAGTGATGGGAAATGCTGCTCTAAAACCTGATCCAAGTTGCCACTGAATTCTGTGAAGGACACAAGACAAAGTGATGGATTATTCAGGAGACAATATGCATTGGGACAGCATTCATTTGTTTTCATTTTCTTTTAAAGGGAACTTCTACCCTATTCCACTTCTACTAATGAAAATTGAATAATTATTTCCAAAACAAAATCCTCATCTACTCTCGTACAAAAGTAAACATTGATTTTATTTACGAGGCAGAATTTAGGGTTGTCTTGTCACACTACTGTTGTCGAACCATGAACACAGCACAATGAGGTCATCTTATCCAGAATCCACAGTAAAAAGCAACAAAATGTCCTTCTGATAAAGAAACATCTCTTTATGATGTTAAAAGTTGGGTTGTTTCATATCACAGCTGCACCTTCCAGAGGATTGACTGTGTTGATGGGAAAACTATTGAAATGGGCTGTTTAACAAACATTTATTCATTTTAATACACCTGACATCTGAGCTTGCTTCCATCCAAGTTCAGCTTCTTACTTAAAATGTATTGTTCCTACTTCAAAACTCAACTGAGAGGATACAGATTATTGTTTTACTTGGACAACGGAATTACATATTCAATTAGAGACCTTTATTTTCCAACATTTTATTCTGTGAATACATACACTGAGATTAAATAACGAGAGACAAACGTTAGCATCACTCCAAAGGTTTAGTATTCATTTGCCTTTTGAAATACAACTGAGAGCGTGTCCCTGACATTTTTCACTGGCAGAAATCCAAGATTTACAATGTAAAAAATATTGTCGCTAATGGCTCTGCTAATATATTTAATGACCTAACATAAGCCATTTTATTTGCGAAGGTTAACTTCTGTCTTTTGGTTGTCTATCAGTAACAAGGTAGTTAGGGAGGGATGAGATTGAAAAGAAGCACTTGCATTAGTTTGACAGATATGAATGAATGGAGTTCCATCGAATCCAAACCAAAGCCAGGAGTAATTTAAATTGCCATCACCTCTTGTAGATTATTGGCTCAGCTTCAAGTTTCCATTTCATCGTTGAAAAAGGAAAATCTGATTTCATCTGAGATTGAAACTTGTAAAGCTCTGTCTTGGCTTATTGTTGTTGACCACCCACATTCAGGATCACATTTGCATTTAACATCCAAACCTATTGCTGGTTAGCAAAGCTCTGTGTGTAGCTGAGCTCTCCTCCATCTCCATTAAGAGTGATTTGGAATGACAAATCTGAATGTTGAATCCCATTCTGATCTCTCTACTGTTGTAGATGTGTTCCTTCCAATTGTGTAAATTTCACAGCAAGTATTTCTTTATGCAGAAGGTTGTGAACATGTGTCATGCTCCGCCCTGGAAGATAGCAAAGATGGAATCAATTGGATGTTCAAAGGGAGCTAGTTGTTCGAGAAGCAAGACAACTAAGATGCATGGATGAAGGCAAGGCATTGGGATTAAAA